GTATTTACCCTGAACAATCTCTACCTGAGTAAGAAAACATTAAGTGCACAATCCCAGTTCTGCCCCCTTAGCCCTGTCGTGTTGTTCCTCTCAGATGGACTTGAACCCTGGTTTAAAAGGGCAGAAACACCTGAACACTGTGTTTTCTTTAAACAAAAGTGCAACATTGTTGTGGAACAACAAAGTTCACATAGGAAGGAGGTTGGGGTGGGTGGATGGATGGATGGGTCACCAAAATATCTGACATTTAACAACTGGGAGACTTTTGTTCTTTTCCTTTTTATTTTTTGATTTTTGTTTAAGTCATGTCTTTCTGTAACCTTGACCACATGGCTGTCATTGTAAGCATGGTGACGATGATTCCCGAAACCTTAACCTTTTTGTGCCTGAACTTAACAAAACCTTAATCGTAGCATTGTCACATAGTGAAACAGATTTATTTTTCAACTGTGACTTTTGTTTTGGAGGGCACAGACGGATGTCCCACATCCCACTGATAGATACAAGTGTCCTCTGTAATTAAATAAAACACATATGATGTTAACTGCCCGTGAATATACCGTACAGGGTGGAGTTTATTTGGCTTAAGAGTAGATGAGGAATCTAGCCTCTGTTGTAGAGCTGCAGAATCTGTACACATCTCTCCTTGTTTGTTTCCTCATTATTGTTCCTGCCTCTGTGAAAAATGCAGTTGCCATCTTTATTTTACCGCCTTGTCTTTTTCTCATGTTGACTGAAAATCTTTCTGGGCTGGACCGGTTGTTGTCCTCAAACTTAGTGAATAGTAAAATTACTGTCTGCTGCGGTTCATGAGCATTACACTGGCTCGGGGCTGACATGGAAGAAACAAAACACAACAAAAACAAGTCCGCTTCTCTCCCTCCCTCTCTACCTCCCGCCTCGTTTCTTCTAAATCATCTCACTATTGTTTTTAGCCCTCCCTCACAAGGTAGAAGTCAAAAGGTGGAGATGACTTCTGACTGAGACTTTTTTCCCCTTCTGGACAATCAATAAAGTTGTCTGCACATTGCAAGAAGACAGACTAAACAGAGAGATGGGGGAATGTTGACGGAGGACCTCACTGAGACGGGTCAAGGGTTGTGCTATGAATTATGTCTGTAGTAAAAAAAATAAAGAAATAAGAGAAATAAATAAATATCAGCATCACAGTAGCTTGCAGAGCAGAGCTGTACTTTTCTCTATAAAGAGCAGGTAATCCAGGCTTAGCAAAGGTATTTTGTCTCTGAGTGGTGTTAGTCCGAGGTTAAGCTGTCTTTACTACAGAGGCAGATATCTGGGGCCAGAGGTGTCAGAGGACTTGATTTCCTCAGAATCAATTCTTGCCATCGTTCAGTTTCCTGACTTCACTGACTCCCAGATGGATTTTTTTTAAGAGTCAAATTTTCCCTGATTCCTCGCCTCCTTTTTCTGTTTTGCTCTCAGGCTCTCTCTTTGTTTCTGACACTGTCTCTCTCTCTCTCTCTCTCCCTCCCTCTCTCTCCCTCTCTATATTTGCGTGTGTGTGTGTTTGTGTTTTATCATAGAGCAGCATACCTCAGAGAAAGTAACTGACTTATTTCCTTGTGGCAGAAATGTCAGCATGTGTAAAAGCAACTCTTAAGATGACTGGCAGCTGCAAAACAAAATAAGGCTCTTCCACAGCTATTTGTGTGTGTGTGTGTGTGTGTGTGTGTGTGTGTGTGTGTGTGTGTGTGTGTGTGTGTGTGCTTGTGTGTTTATGGGGGTGTGTTTTCTCATCAGATGGTCTCCTCTTTAACTTGTATGGTTCCAAGGCAGGCCTGAGGCAGAACCTAATCTGGTCTCGTAGCTCGATTGCTCCACTTTTTCACTCAGCCAAATCCTATACAGAGAGTGTAGCAAAGCTGTAACTCACAAGGTGCCATGAATTTTTTAACTTTTACTTTCAAGTAAAAAAATGAACTTCTAACAAAACTTCCTGGCAATGCTCGGCGGAGTATGGCATGGGAGCTAAGTGGATATGTAACGTTTTCTAAATCATTTGAGGATATGCCAGTTTAGATCCCTCAGCTGGCAGCACGTGGAGTTAAAATGAAGCATTTGTGCTGGCTTCCATCCTATAGCTATAATCTTTAAAGTGTGATTGATCCTAAATTGTGGCTCCTTGGCAGGAGGAAAGGAAACAAAGAAGGAAAAAAAGGTGTTTGGATCAGTTTTTCGGCCCGTGTGTGTGTGTGTGTGTGTGTGTGTGTGTGTGTGTGAGAAAACATCTGGACTGTTTCCAGCAGTGATAATGAGCATCAAACTGTGTTTTTTTTTTGTCTGAAAGCATACATAGATGCACACTCACTGTGTGAGTGATCATTTTAAAGTTGATATTTTTGGGTTAGTTCTCTGGAGATCTTGCTTTTGTACATCAGATCGCTTCATTTTAAAGCGTATTTGCATAAATCAGTAAGGTCGATGTTCAATCATAGGCAGCTAAACTGACAGAGCCTGCTACACAACACAAGAGCTGAAGTCTTCCTGCTTCTCCTTCTCCTAACTTACAAACATGAGCACACATCTTGTCGTGCCCGTTGTTCAGCTGCTGCGAAGAAAAGTTTTTTTTTTATATTTCCCCAAAGACCATTTTTTAAATTCCTTTCACTAATAAAACCTATTAACAATACATTTAAAAACACATTCAGATTTTCTTTGACCGCAGAATGTGATGTCTAAATGTGATTTCAATTGGATTTTAACAGTAATATCTGTGTGGGATAGAATTTCCTCTCCTTTGTGTATTAATTAGACACTAATTTATTTTCAGAGGGAATATTAGGTTGAAACACCTCAGGCTGAATAATATGGCAGCTTTCTGTGAACCTACCACCTAAAGTATATTCTATGTGAGGGAAAATACTGCTCTAGTACTGAGAAATCTCTTCATTTTCTGATTACAGTCATATTTAATTTTCATTCTGTGTGCTTTGTCTGTGTGTGAAAGTGCCATGTAACTTTCCACATGGTATTCTGAGTTATGTGCAGGTGATAATGAAAGCTCCTTACACTCCTCTGACTCAGTTTTTTGTGCAGTGGCTCTGCTTGAAAGCGCAAGATGGCCCTTAGACAGAAGCACCTGGCTCCCAAAGGTCCTGGGAATGTATCTGAGAGCCGCAGAAGTAGATTCAATCTAGCGGGACATGTTCTTAACATCCCCTCCATTACCCCCGCGCTGCCTGGCAACTATCGCCACAGTCACGGGCTCCTGTTTGCATGGTGACCCCAGAGAGACAATCCCATTGGCTGAGCACAATGCCAGAACATAAAGAAGGGTTATCCCAAAGGCCTTTGGGAGTGCTGCGCCAGCACAAATATACATAGGTGTTGGAGTGTGAGGGCACAAAGAGAACGAGAGGAACTTGTCAAGGAGAGCAGGAGGGAGGGAGGGAGGGAGGGAGGATAAGGGAGGCAGAAGGATGCGGGACAGCAGGAGATGTAAGCAATTTGAAGGGTTGGGTTTGTGCTATAGATGCTACTGTAAAGCTTTGCCACTGTGCATGTGCGTGTGTTCACATGCACTCCTGTTTATCTCCCCCGCCTCTCTTCAGATTACTAAATCGCGGCATGAGCTACCTGCAGGTCAACAAGCATTACCATGTTTTAAATGAAACTCAAGTGAGGGAATGAGCTTGAATTACCATAAATTACCATACTCTTACTGAGTCAGGTGTTTCTTCTGGCTTCTCTATATGGCTCATATTTATATGTATGGAAATTCAGCTATGAAGATGAGGTGTGCATGTGTTAGCACACGTGGAGATATGCAAACACACGTCCTTACACTCAATTAACCCCCCAGCAGTGCATGGGCCTCCTGCTAAACGAGCTGTCTGCCTGCTCATCATTTACACAGCTCACATTATGCTTCTCCCAATTTCCCTTCAATGAATCCGTCATTCTATTTTTAAAATGCAGAAAGCCAAGCAACAGAAACGAACACACGCACACACACACACACACACACACACACACACACACACACACACACACACACACACACACACACACAGAGAGAGAGACACCCACTTTGTAGCTGCACCCAGCCTGACTCCCAGCTCTTGACTTTGACGGGAAAATGGCAGGCCTTTGAAAAGTGAGCGACTCAGATTACACTATCCTGTAAAGGCACTTGTTCTGCTAAGAGTTTTACCGAGAACCTCATTTCCATGTGTGTTTCATTGTGTAAACAAACTAACATGCTGTCAGACGTGTTTTCTCACACATTCACTAACAACAGTGCGCTTCAGTTAGAAAACCAGGATGTTGGGCGGGAGTCCGTCCACTGATGTATAAAGACTTCACTCCAAAGACACAGAGTGTTTTCTGCTCTTCCTCATATTCCCTCTCTTTTCCCATTCATCTCTGTTGCTGGCTGCCTCACAGGAGAGATTTGACAGCATGAGAGACAGAGAGGGAGCGAGAGAGAAAAAGAGACTGGACTGTGCACTAACCGTGCTTTACAGGTTTGACAAGTAAAGGTGCATTTAAGCCGACGCTAACACAGCAGCTCATGAGTAAAGACGTAGAGCAATATGGGCCTTGACACTTCCTTGACTTATTTTGCGAAACAAAACCGCTAACGCAGCAGCACAAAAACAGCCCAAATAAATTGAATTCAGTGTTTTAAATACAGAATGACATTTATCTGCTTAATTCATACAGGATTTACCTGCTCTACTCGTAGCTGCCTCCCTAACGGATTTTCAACCCAATGAATGTGTTATCGTGTAGTCACCATAAATCATTCATAAGTATCACAGGGGATCAGAGTGAATTTATCACAGGAGATGAGAGTGAATGCTTTAGTAGCACATGTTTGATTTGATCTATAAGATCACAACTCAAGTATCAGGCGCGTGGAAGTGCTGTAGCTCAAATCAGTGGGACGTGTCGGGTTGATACCCAATCATTCTGACATGTGGTATGGTATAGGCTCTGGCTAACAGGTGGCTTCTCTGGTCTCTTGCTCTTTGCAGAAAGCCCGCTTGGCCAGGATACGAATATCCAAGACGGGAAGCTCCAATGCCTTCCTCCACAGCAAGCGTAACGGCCTGTTCAACGAAGCTCTTGAGCTCACGGTAAGAGAAACCTCTGAACCGCACAGAGACCACATATGCTTCACATGACACACTTACATTTCTTTTTAAATGACGCCCCAGAAAACCTGACCTCTGCATCTTCTTGGAAAAAATAGTTCTGAGGATTTCAGAGCAGGGAAATAACCAAGTCATTGGACGCAGGCCTCACTCGCCCGTCCTTTAATTATCAGTTCTTAGAATGCGCCCAGCATCCCATCAGAGCAGCTCCCTGTGATCTCATTCACTGAGCGGCATTTCTAATGTGAGCATCCCGGAGCCCAGCTGCCCATCTGAGGAACTGGCTTCAGGCGATGCAGCAGGAAATGTAAACACAACTCAAAGATGTTCCATGCTTCGCCAAAACGTTGTGGTTCACAAGCACTATAGTGGCCCGGGGCTGACACAGAGCAAAAACAAAAACAAGTGCTTCTTCCTCCCTCTCCCTCTTGCTCTATGCGCCTCTCTCTCTCTCTCTCTCTCTCTCTCTCTCCATCTCTTCAGTAGCAGATAGCAGGCCTTATACTCAATCTATGGCTGAATAATGCATCAGCCTCATATTGATAGTGCCTCCTCAAGAAACAATATACTGCAGGGGCTGCAACGGAGATTTTATAAGAGTGGTTATGGTTCCATTTATCTTAAATGCAACTGTTTTGAGTAAAGCTTGTCTGAACAGTAAATACTGAGAGATCAAGTTGCTTTATTGGAAATTTTAGAATTGTTTTTAAAAATTTGTTTTTATTTAAGATCATTTCTTGACCAAACAGTATTAAAAGAGACCCATGATTCTGTCAGGAGTCAGCAAAAGTTCTGTATAGATAAGGACATTTTCTTCATGTGTATATGATTATTAATGGTATTGCATATCTTCTAAATATGTGGTTTAATTTTGTTTATTGTAGCGTGGACACTGTTTCATTTAGACTACTACAACCAATATTAAAGTGAAATTAAATAATAATGTTTGATTTAGGGAACATTAGTACTCAGCAGTGCATGTGTTTCTTTAGTAAAACTAACTCATTATCACAGTCACAATTATCTGTCATTAAAAAAACACAAAACAGAACTTTTCCCTTTTCCATATTGTGCAGCTCAAAAGTAATTAAGTGCAACATTATCAGTATTTCAAGACTTTCTCTTTCCTTTGCATAGATAGTCATTTAAATTCATGAGCAGTCAGTCACCTTAGCTGTCTGCTCAGATAACTGTAGCTTTCATTTTCTTTTTGTTTAATATATTTTGTGTATTGTATCACATTTTTTTCTCTCTATCAGCTTTAACACTTTCCGTCCAAGGTCAACAGTAAACAGCTCTGATATGAAGATGTATGTCATCTCAGTAAAATGTTAATTGTTGTCCAGCTTAAGTGTAATTTTAATGCAGCTATTAACTACCAACATGTACAGCGCCATGCAGAGTGACACAGTTTGTTTTGTCGCTCAGCAGATCAAGCTGTTTCCACTCTACAGTATGGTGGCCACCTGGGTGGTGAGCCGTAGCCGCCTCCAGACAGACCGCTGATGCGGGCTTTGCAGTCACATGTATAGAGAAAGTCTGAAATAACTCCACCTAAACACCTGTGTTCTACTGCTGTGTTAGGTGCAGATAAGCAGCGTGAACACAGGTGAGCGGTCTTGGCTCGGACAAACCCGAGTCACCAGCGCAGGAATGTACCCTCTCAGCAAAGAAGCTTCTGCTTACAGCACCAGCCGCCTGCTTAACAAACAGAAAAGTGCTACTACAAATCTTCCAAACATGGCATTTTACTTGCCTTCCGGCAGTGCTGTGGCGCATGCAGGATCAGGGCCGTAGTTTTTGTCTTTTTTTGTTTGTTTGTTTGTTTTTTTATAAACAGCTCAACGACAGGTTCTGCTGGGAAAGACTGATGCAACCCATTGAAAGTCTGTATATGTGAAACACTGCTGTACTTCTGACAACAACAATGATGGTATTGTGCAATATACTGAAGAGACATCTTCCCAGGCTCAAGCTAAGGCTATTATGGCCAATATTTATGACAACAATGCAAAGAAATCTGTGTTTTCTTTGCACCAGGTCTACTTAGATCTTAGATGTATAAGGCTATTAAATTTCAAATCCTGTTGGGAAATATTCTTATAGATAATAATAACAAAAAAGTCTGTTCCAAATATTACCTTGGAAACAAAGTGTACTTAAAGCAGGCAGATAGCAAAATGTTAAATGCCTTATTATAGAATATGATGTGTTTTGTCTCCACAATGGAAATGTTTTCTACAAGCTTTAACTCCCCCTCAGGGCCTGGCAGTAAAATGATTTATTGGACTAATAAAACAATATAAACGTATGGACTGAAAAGTAATAAGCAAATGAACTGCTGAGTATTAACAATCAAATGTTGCTCAAGTCCTTTTAGCTGGTTTCTTCACTTTCTTGGAGGATCCACTTATTTTCTGACTCACCTCACCGCTGCGAGTGCGAGTGAGTTTCGCATCGAGACCACCACAGAACTAGAAATAGCAGCCACTTGTTCACGCACAGATACACACACAAATAAACATGTAAACGGGCCACGGCATAAGAAATAAGGAATATGGAAAACAAGTCATTATCGAGTCGCCTGTAGCCAGCTTTTGAAATAACAGAGATGGAGGCAAAATGTCACGATGGAAATTTTTATATGAATTGTATATACTGTATATCCATTAGGGGCGAGTTGTGCTAGAAGTCTCCCTTCCAGCACAGATCAATGCACTGGCTCCACTGATGATAGCAGACATGCCTCTCAGGGTAAGAATAGTAATGCTCCCTGTATCTGACTGGCATGACTGCGGCCTTGACGGCTGTCTGTTCTCAACCCACGACTATGAGCACCAGTAAAACTCCACCTGTCTGTTCTCCTTTTGTCTCCTTCTCCAACTGAAGCAACTTCCGTACAAGATGAACCTTTCAGATCAGGTACTGAGACAGCAGCCGGCCACGCACCTCCCACATCTGATTAGTGCAGTCCTAAAAGAAAATGTAGCATAGCGCTCATTTTGTGCGTATGTGTGTGTGTGTATGTGTTACAGAGTTCCACTGAGGAGGAGCAGCGGTTAAGTAAGTCTACTTCACTATTAGAGAGCCAGCACCATCACCTGCTGCACTGTCTGGAGAAGACCACTGTGAGTATGCACACACTCTCTCTCACACACACACTCACACACTTGTTTTTTTCCAGAATCACACATGAATTTCAGTCGTGCAGATTTTAAAATATTAATTTAACATCAAGATAAAAGTCCAATTTGTGCAATCATCCATACATTTGTCTCTGGTTGTAGCTCATTAGGTGAAAGTAACTGACATCCAGGCACAATGTTTATAGATCTGCAGTGTTTATATGTGCATGGGCAAGTGCAGCTCACTGTAGCGTGATGTCCGGTACACTGCATTTCCCTTGTGACACACGCTCATCTGCCTGTCTGTGATACGGCTGCACTGTCTGTTTCAGCCGAAAGAATGTGACATTGCGCTGGTGCACATGCACACACCCAAACTGTCATTCTTCACTCTACATATGTGTGGAAATAGACCACAAGAATTATAAATGTGTGATAAATCTGCAATCAGAACTTTTTTGACACTTAAAGATATAGTTTGGGTTTTTTGACGTGGGGTTGTGTGAGGTATCACAGCCACAGACACAATGCAATATCGGTTTAAATGTGCACTTCATGTAGAATATTTTCAGCGGTTTATCTTCCAGTGAAAACAGCACTTTCCGTTGGCACTACATTTCTCAACCGCTGAACGACCGTATTGTAAAGTGTTGTTCTCATGGGAAGATAAACCACTGAAAATATTCTACATGAAGCGTACATTTAAGCCGATATTGTTTTGGTGGGCGTATTTTAAAAGTGTCTAAAACATGTTTTTTCTCGTGGCCCCATGCACAGCAACACATGCTGTAGCTCTGCTAGTCTGCTGGGTGCTCCCGGTCGGCTTTCCTAACTGGGAGCACACTGAACAGAATCTGCTGCGGGAAATGTAATTCATGAGACTATTCATGAGTACCTCACACAACCTCACATCGAAAAACCTGAACTATCCCTTTAAGGACAGCTGAAATGAGCTGTAAACACAAAACTGACATATGACAAACTCTGTTTTGCACTCCACCAGCCCCTGAGCGAATCATCTGGCTCTTTAGCTGCTAAATGCTCCACTAAATTCACCAGCACCAATTTTGAATGCTGTTTGTAGCTGGGCAGGTGGAGCACAGTTTGTGTTTGGAGCTTTTTCTCTCTGAAAACAGCTTCCTGTTGTGGCCGAAAACACACACGCTAACGTGAGCTAAGATGAGAGTGAACCAAAACGGCAGAGGGCCATGAAACCAAAACAATAAGCTAAAAGACGGTAAAGCTCTGTAGAGCTGATGGGACGTTCAGATTTGGATGATAAAGTTTTTCACTTTCACTCACAAGTAGTCGTGATCCATTGTTAATATACAAGTACTGATTATAGAAGCTCCAAGAAACTCAAGACTATGGAAAATTGATTCTGAGCTCAGCTCCAAAACACTAAAAACATGTTTCCAACGTTCGTGTGCATACACTTGCAGACACACACACAGACACACACCTATATAAAAAATAATCATCACACATTCTCTGAGGAGTTATTGACCCAGGCTATGAAGCAGAAAATGACAGTCTATATCAAGCCATACACAGTACATAGTCATAAATATAAATGTTGTAAATGTCACGTCTTTTTTTATGACTCTCCCCCTGTCTTTTCCCCCTGTGCCGGTCTTGTTCGCTTTGTCTTTGTTTGCAGAACCACGAGTTTGTGGATGAGCAGTATTACCAGCAGAGCTACCTGGAGGCGGGGCTGCAAAACTACCCCTCCCGAAGCCCCTCCCTCTCCAGCCAAGACGGCGTGACAGGCACATGCTGCACCCGCCGGAGCAAGAAGCATCACACCCCTTTACCGAACGCCAGTGCCCCAGCACACATGCAGCCTTTGACACACACGCACAAACACCAACAAGCTTTGCAGGAGCTCAGCACCATCCACATCCAGCCCCTCAGCACCAGGTGAGATCAGGATTCCCACAGGTTGGGGCCAAAAGACTTGGATATACTACAGTTTGTGTGCTGTGATGTTTAGAATACACTCTCACTTATGTAATAACATTTCTACAAGTTACTTTTTGACAAAGAGTTTCTAGTGTCCTCATTTTCCCTCAACCTACCTTGTAAAAATATTTTGGAGTCTAAATGTGAGATCAAATGTAAAATGTGTTTTGTAACAAATTTGTTTTTCAAATTTGCTCATTAGCTTTTGTATGCAGGTGAGTGTGAAGAAAACATCCACTGAAAATCAATTTTCTCTCATAATCTGGACTGTAATGCAAGATCTTAGCAAGTACCTCCTAACCACATATATCTAATGGCTACTGGTTAGCAATAAAGGCTTTCTACCACTAGCTACAATTAGCCTAATTAGCCACCATGTAACTAATGACAACTGACAATGAGCTGCTAATTTACTGTCAAATTGTCCCCACAACATTAAGTGAACGGTCCACCTATTTTTACTTGTCTATGAATCTATGAAAGTCCATTAGAAAGGGTATTTCAGTCATTTTTAACTTTATTTATTATATATTTATATTTGTTTATTATATATTATATTTATCCAGGATTCGTCATCACCAGGTTACAAGTTGAAATTAAAGTGAAATCAGACTTACAGCCATAGTACTGTCCATTGTGCTCATGGTTAACACATATCAACATGAGCATCCCATTGGTGTTGCTTTTCTAGCCATGTGGCAAAATGTGTGTCAAGTATTTATGCGCCTTTCATTGATTGGTTAGGTCCACAAACTCCGGAGGAAAACATGTTTAGTTTGAGAGGCACTCGAATTTCTTCACCAGCCACTGTTTACTTTGACTCACAGTTGTTTGCTCCAAAAGGCTGCAAACCATTTCATGAGCAGCTGAAATAGAGCTGCAGAGACACTTGGTGGGTTTGGCGCTACAAGCATCCCATTACTATTACACTGGGTCTTTTGGTCAGAATGGTAATGTTCACTTTGTCACAGTGCGGCCCTGACGGCTGTCTCTTTTCAGACACCATTAAAACTCCACCTGTCTGTTCTCCCCTTGTCTCCTTTTCCAACTGAAGCAACTTCCATGCAAGACCAACCTTTCACGACAGGTACTGAGACAGTTGGACTGGGTCAGTTGGTTTGATGGTTATGTCAAAAATGTAGTTAAGTGGAGCTTTAAACCCAGATATAAAACCTTGGGGATATTTGGATAAGTCAACTTGATCCATTCACACTAATGGTGATTTAATTTAAACACAGGATTTTCTGGGGTTTGTTCTGTTTGAAAGGGATTAACAGTCTTGATTAAGGGCTCCTCAATGGAAGTCGTTGAAGGAGAGAGGAGGGGTTCTCATTCACTTTTCCTTCACCACAATTGGAGCGAGAACCTTAAGTCACAAACCCAACTCCCAAAAGGCCAAGGCTAGAACTTGTTGTGAAATATTTCAGATTATGTCGGACTAATCTTTTTGCTTTCCTCCTACTCCACTCTAGCCGCTCCAGTCTGAACATGCGCGTGGACGAACCAGCATCCCTGAACTGCCAGAGCAGCCAGATCACCACAGCAATCATCAGCATTCCCACACCGCCAGTGACGACCCCTGAGGGCGATGCTCACCTGCCCGCGGCCCCCACCCACCAGAACGTTGTGAAGGTGTCCGCGCTGTGAAGACTAGGGTGCAGACGCGTCACACAGAAAGACAGATAAAGACTCATCGAGACGAGACTGAGGGACAGAGGAGGACTGGGAATGATGGAGGAGAAAGCATGCAGAGTCCTAGTCTAGCCGTGGTGGAGCCTGCCCTCTGCTGGTCATGTACTGTAACGACATGGACTCCCTGTACAGATGGAGGATGGCTTTTAGATACAGTAAATTCATGTTAGTGGTTGGTATGCATGTGTGCGCGTATGCGAGTGTGTGTGTGTGTGCGTGTGTGTGTGGATGGGTGAAAGAGCGGGAAATATGTGTAGGGAGTCATTTTAGATGAGGAGGCGAGTGAGAGTGTGCCTCCAAAGTGTTGGCGATGAGTTCCCAGAGTAAGTCATGTGTCACTGTGCACAAAGCACCTTTTTATGATTTTTGCTTCAGTTTGACTATTAGTCTTTTTTTTTTTTTTTCTTTTTTTTTTTTAGCCGGAGATATAAGGGAAAAGGAGGAAAACTCAAAGGGAAAGAAAAAACAACACATAATTGAAACTTTTTTTCTCACTCTGATTTGACCCAGCCCTTTTGTTTCGTGTCATTTTAGTCCTCTTACCTGTTGATAGATGATAAATATTTCCACCATTCCTTTTCGGGTCCAATATTATTCCACTCGAGTGAAAATTCTTTAAAAGATGAAATATGGTAGGTGTGTCTGTGACGGCGTTACCAATGAGTTTCATATTTGTGAATGAGTATATGTGACTTTTTGCTAGATAGAGGATTTGTGACGTTTTGGATAGGAGGTACTGTATGTGCCTGTGTGTGTGTGTGGGTGGGTGCGCGCGCGCGTGTGTGTGGGTGAATGTGTTCGTCACAGCTGATTGAAAACTCGTGTTTCAATTCTTCTGGAAGTCTCTATGGCTCAGTATATGGTATATTTGACTAGCTGCCACTCTGAAGGGTTTATTGCACATATTTCTGTCTGAAATTCTCAGCTTCAAGCCTTTTACACAATATGTGCCTGTTTTGCTGGAGTAAAAAGAGATTTATTTGTTTTTATAGTTTTCTGAATTCCCCTCCCCCCTGCCTGCTCTGTTCCCTTTTGGCTCTTACAGCCTGACGGACCTCAAATAACTCAAATTCTCTAACAAAGAAACAAAAAAAAAAAAAACAAAACAAAAAAAACAAAAAAACAAATTTAATTCAAACTAACACAATTAAAAGCACAAGGCGTTTGCTGAGAATTTCTGACACAAATGTGTCCTGAGCCCGGGTTCTTTGTGAATATTGTTAATAGAATATTTTGTAATATTTGACCATCGTTTGGCAGAACCAGTGAAGCTGTCCTCTCGTTCTCTCTCTCTCTCTCTCTCTCTCTCTCTCTCTCTCTCCCCCTCTCTCCCTCTTCCTCACTCTGTCTTTCTCTCTTCCTCACACTCTTCTCTCTGCATTTCTCTCTCTCTCTCTCTCTCGCTCTCTCTCTCTCTCTTGTTGTTGTCCTGTTGTATCCCTACCTCCTGTGTGAACAACAGTATGCTTTCGGTAGTCTTTATAGCTGTCAACGTTTTTTCTTCCCCAAACTCAGCGGGCGTTTTTCAAAGCTGTTGAGTATGTGTGTACTCTATGTGGTTAGGAAACTTGGTGTTTGTACTTTTTGTCCTCCTTGGTGTTTCAAAGGATTTTTATTTACTTTATCTTCTGGAGAACTTAAAGCAGGGAAGTCTGTTGTTAACGGTGACCACAGAGACACGGAGGAGGACACTGGATGAGCCATCCACGGCTCTCTGTCACCAAAAACATATGCTATTCTGTCTGTTCTCGCGACTCACAGACCCCACCCTGAAACTTTAGTATTACCCACCATCAAATCCCATCAAAGTTGACCTTTGTAACTATGGACGGTGACCTTTTAGCTCCGCTAACCTCCGAGCTGATGCCTCCCTCTGTTGGCCTTTTTCATCTTGAATGTCATTCTGAGTCCAACAGCTCCAGAGACAGTTAGGTCTGTCTTTGTTTATGAGACCACTGCTGGGCTTTCGCTGAAGAACAGCTCCAGTCACAGCAGACCAAGCACCCACTTCTGCTCCACAGAGATGAAATACAATGTTGATCAAGAGCACACAGACAGGGCTACAGATACACCAATATATCAGCATACTGTCCATCAGCCAGGAGCATATTTCAAAAGCAATACTGGAATTGGTCTAACATTGTGTCTGCCCAAATGTAGCTGATGTTTTTTCTTTTCCTGTAGAAGTAGATTGTATTTAAAACAACTGTCAAACTATCGGCAAAATGTATCATGGACTTTTTAAAAACAAAAAAGTATTTAATTACCTTAAGATGGAGATATCTGACGAGCTTAACCAGTTTTACACATGCATTTGTACTAGGAAAAATTCTGCATATCATCGTCATATCAGCCCATATGGGTGGAAATATATAACATATTGGAACCATATCAGTGCATCACTACACTTAAGACTCCTTTGTTGTGCTTTCATTCCCTCTGATCCTGAGGTTAGTATCGACCTGAAGAACACCAAAAATATTCTACTGAGTTGGAACAGGGTGTGTTTTACCTCTGATGTTCCTAGTAGTGAGATAATACTACTGCTGGTAATTTAGTACTGTACACAGTGACAACAGCTGCCTAGATCCAGTATTAGTGTTTAGTCAAACTGTGTGCAAATTAACCTGGAGTTAAAAACAGACAAGAAGACAAGCACAGACAGGCAGAGCTTTTTCAGTGTAATTTTAAAACTGGGGTTAAAGACATTGACTTCATATTCACAGCATCAAGTCCGACATTTAGAATCTATGGAAAACTACAACAAGGATCTGACATAGGTAACGGCAGAAGTGAGGTTCCCTGTACTTTTATTTTTTTTTGTTGTTGTAAGGACAAGTGATTAAACGTGATTTATTTCCTGCTTTCCTGTGGTGAGACAGGTTGTTTTGTTTCAGCTGCACTTTCAAAATGACACGGTTTAAATTATTACGTAAGCATATTTCTGCTCAAAGTGTCGACGGATTGCATTTCTTTTATTTACAAACAACAAAAACAGAGCTCTGTGATTGTGTTTGTCTCTCTTTCTCTGTTATGTACTCTCCTTTGATTGTCTTTTTTCTGGGCTCAGTCAGTTTTCTTCTCACTCTTTGCTTTGCCCTCCTATGCCACCTGTCGTTGTTGAGACTACTGCTGTGCGTATCTTGTCAGGTGTTGGATATTATGTATGACCTTGTCTTGTGTCTCGACTGTGAAACGCCTGATAAAACATCTATATCTGCCACAAATACAAAATCTGTGGGCTCTCTTCTTGCCTCTAAATCACTCTGTATTGGTGTGTGTGTATGTGTATAAACACAAGGCAGTGGCTTGTGTTTATTTAGCTGCAGTAGTATTTTTTTGATTCCCAAAGGTGAAGTCCATGTGGCCCAAATGTTCATATCAAACAAGTTAACCTTCAGCCTCTCAGTTTTAGTGGACATCCGGGGATGGAGGAGAGGATCTTGCTTAGCTCAGAGCGAAACTGTCTGGTGACTAAAGTGTAGATGAGAGGATCCACCGCAGCCTGCATACAGGTCAGCACCATGGCTGATGTCTCCAGCTCCCTCAGCAACTGTGGGAAACACAGCAGAGAGCTTAGGGGCAAGGACACAGAATACCTCTCCAGATTTTTTTTTTTCCTGCCAGAGTATGAGGGAGGGCTCTGATTGATTAATGATTCATTTGTTGGTTAATTTTTTATGAATTTTTTAGTCTAAAATGTCAAGCAAAAAAAGTGTAAAACTATCAGTCCCAATTTTCAGAGACCACGGTGACATCTTCAGATTGCTTGTTTTATTCTAAACCTAAAGATTCAATCTGTAATGACAGAAAATAGAGAAAAGCAGCAAATCGTTTTCATTTTATCTTGATAAATTACTAAATTGATAATCAAAATTGCCGTTGATTTATCAATAGCTTACTACTATGATGCATTTTGCATCATAGTGACCAGGGTAATAGACACAGCTGTGCAATGCAATAGCCCCAGAAAAAATAATAGGCTACTTTAAATACTTTTTGTTGACTACTACTTTGTATTTCATTTGATTGTTGACTCAGTTCTGTTGTTGTTGTTTGTTATTTTCAAAGATGTTTCTAATATTTTGCACTTAAGAACAAATGTTAGAAACCCCACTAATTACTATGTATGTTTGCAGGACTGTATTACCATGCACAGGGCTTCTATTTTTCAGATATGGCAGTATTGTGTGAACAAAAACAAAAAACAAAAAAACTGCTACACTCACTCTGTCCGTGTCCTGCCAAGAGTTGACATTCACTAGCAAAATAACCACCATGGGCACCCAGAAAAGCGTGAACGCAATGATTATGTACCCAAAACGCTGCGCCACTTTCCCCTCCATCTGTTTCTTCCCCCGCTCCCTTGCCCCGGGTGTCAGAAGACACACTGCCCCGACGATCTCCGGAGGTCTCCCCGGGGCGCGTCGTCCTCCTGTGGACGCGTCCGCACAGGATGCACCGGCCTCGGCCACCAAGAGCACCGTTCTGCGGGGAGGTAGCGGGCTGCCGGAGCCCACAGGGGGCAGAGACTTGAAGGAGCCTCGTGGAGCTGTCCGTGGTGCTGGGCTAGCAGGGACACTCAGCCAGGCCCAGACGTGCTCCGACACCGTCGGCCTCAGCTGGACTCCCCGGTTGAACAATTTCTTCCGGTGCTGCCTCACAACTCTCAATATCCGCATATAGTGGATAACGATCAAAGTCAAAGACAGTCCCCACACCGGCACCAGCACGTAGGGTCCGAATGGATCCGAATACTGCAGAGGCTCTTCGCCGTGCCCCCCGATGTGCGGACGACAGAGCATGTAGAAAAGCGCGTTCTTGGCAAGAGTCAGAGAGATGACAGCCAACATGAGGCCGCACGCCCAGATGGACAGGATCCAGAGACGGACCCTCGCTCTCCTCCTCTCGGTTTGGAAAGGAAAGGCGATAGCTTGGAAGCGCTCCACGCTGATGCTGACCAGCGTGAGCAGCTGGACGCAGCTGCACAGGGCATAGGTGAACTGCTGCAGGGTGCACACAGACACCGACACCTGGCTATCCTTCCCGTAGCGCAGGAAAGAGAAGAGCAGCAGCGGTGTGTCCACGGAGCACTTCAGGAGGTCACTGGCGGCCAAACTGACCAGCAGCGCGTTATTGCAGGTCTGCAGGCTCTTGGTTCTGGAAACAACCCAACAGATCCACAAGTTGCCGGGCAAACCCAGGATTAACGTTAAGGTTAGGACCGTGCAGTTGAACAGGAGAAACATGGTGTCCATGTGAGTCTCATTGTGCGCGGCTGTTTCGTTCCAGAAAGTGTGAATATCCATAATTCCCCCTGCGCCTTGTGCTTCCTCTCATTAAGACTTTAAAGGCTGAAATTCTCTGTCGTACATCCTGGACAAACCATCTGATGGTTATATAGTCACATCAGTGTGCTGCGGCTCAGAGTGAGCATGAAAGAACACTCACCTCTGCTGCCGCATAATGACGATTTAAATTAGTGACATAAATGCTACAGATGGTAAAAAAAAAAAAAACATTTGAAGTGGGCCTCTGGTTTAAATTAATTTATTCAAGGGTGTTTGCCTTTTGTGTTGCCCTGACCTGATTGGGTGAATGGAAGGTAGACGCTGATTAGCCTGTAATCAGGAGCATGTGGAGTTGTCTGACCTTGCTGAAGAGTACATACAGTGAATTGCACAGCCCCCCCCCCCCTTTCACCTTCCTCTTCCTCTATAAACATTGGGTTAGATTAATGGCTGGTGATGTGTATACTGGTTGTCATAGCTTGTGACAGTGTAGAGCCGTAACAGAAAAGAGCTTTGAAATTCATGCTCCAAACTGGTAATTTATTAGAAAAATAAGTGATGTACAGTACATGGTATGACTTTGTTGAAAAGTACACACAGAAAATGAACACTCAAGTACTGTGTGTTAGACCAGAAAAGCAAAAATTTGTACCTAAATCCTGCTGTCCCAATCTATTTTTGCAGGAGAAGTTCTGGCTTGATGCACACATTGTGCACAAACAGATTGTTCAGCAGGATTTCTAATTAGATACAGACAAGTCAGTGTTTCAGGAGTTCTTCCATGTAGACAGCATTCATACGATAAGCTGCCATCCAGTTGTGAGCTACGCTGTAGTAGCTTTGGTAGCCTTGTTCTTGAAAAGGAGACATGGAGGCGTAGTAATCATTCCAGGCTCTGTAGCAGGCTCTCCAGTAAATTTCAGCGCTGCACTCCTCCTCCTCCTCCTCTCCTTCTTCATCTTGTTCTCCTTCGTTCCTGTCCCTCTTTCTCTCTCTATCCATCTTTTCTGAGCACTTTTTGCTCCGTTTCCTAATCTCTTCTTTCATCTTTCTTGATTCATTTCTGCCAGTCTGTGGCGGAGCGGCCTGATTGGTTTCCCTGTTTGAATCTGTACCACGCGTCGGATCATAGCTCTCAGGCTGAGACAAAGCTCTCCAATTTGATGCACCAGTTGTCTGGTGATATATTTTGGGCGCAGAAGTAGGATAAGCTTTGGGATTTGATTTTGGTCCGGGCACAGTTGGTGTGTTTCTAGCATCAGTCTGAGATTGCATCACTGCTCTGCATTCTCTTCCTCTGGTGTGATTTGAACTTCCCACTGTCTCATTATCCTGCTGCTTCTCCTCCGTGTCCAATTGGGAGCTTGAAGAACTAGAAACTGACCTTGGAGGTGAAAAGTTAGCTTTCCACTGTTCTCTACTCCGTGTTAAATTTTGAGCTCCGTCGTCATTAAGTGTGACAGACTCTCTATGCCCGTTCTGATTACTGGGGCTATCGTCCTCTCGACCTCTGAACTCTCTGATGACCTCCACTGTTCTCCCCAACCCTGTGGTAATGAAGCTCTGGAAGTCCTGCTCAGCCTCCTCAAAGGTCATAAACCTTGACCTGCAATTCTTGAACGAGCTGAGAGGAGGGATCTTCGGTAGAGCATCTTGCAGCTGCTTTCGAGTCTGCACCGTCTGAGTAGGAGATACAGTTCTAGCATTCCCTTCAACATGTGCTCCACGCCTGGGTGTTGGATGGGTTTTCTCTGGCTTTGTTGGTCCACTATGCTCTACAGCTTGGTCTGTGATGGAGGCGGCGGCAGCAGCAGCAGCAGGTTTCTTCTTCTTCTCTGACCTGGAGACAAGCTTTGATAAGGAGCTTGGAGTGGAGGCCTCAATGCAGACATCCCAGTCACATGGCTCGTCCATCAACCCAGGCTCTATGGTGGCTGAAAGGACAGAAGACAGATGAGACTGAAACTACTTCCCAACATCAACATTAAAATCAAAGCCTTTTTTTTTTTTTTTTTTTTTTTTTTTTTATAAAGAGAACAAAATCTACGAAGAGGGAAAAGTTACACGTGTTGCATGTAAAACTCTTCAAACACATTTGGACAAGACTTACATGGCAATGCGGATAAACTCAAGCCGCACTTTTGAGCAATGGCCATCATCTTGTTCTCCTCCTCACCATGGCAACAGTAGGTCACAGCCAGCCCCTGAGTGCCTACGAACAAAATGTAATCCTGATGAGAACCTATTCACATAACGCGCAGGAGGCTGTGCGAGTTGTGTATCCGTGCACACGTATACACACACACACATACATTGTGCACAAGCCAAGATTGAATTACCTTCTGTTTTTAAGACAGCACAAGTTAAGTCAAGATAATTATAATTAAATGCACATGATTAGGAACCTATTGACCTTGTGAGAGGGGTCAAACCTGCTAACCCCTGAGAGAGTAGAGCTAATCTTCAAAAATGGTGTTCGAGACAGAGAGAGGAAATTAATGAAGCAAATCAAGTCTAATTCAGAGCAAGATAACAGGTCAAAGAAACTGTTTTTATCCAAGTATTACACCACCAGGGGAGAAAAGGTTTTTCTGCAGGGACTGCAACACTGAACTGGCTTTGTCCGTTATTATACAATCAAGTTTTTGTTACTTGTTAAAAAAGGAAAGAAAAAAGAATACATTTTTTTTCAATTAAAAAAAAATAAATACAAAAAATACCTGAAAACTGAAAAAAGAATGAGTGAATGCAGCAAAATGAAGCATTTTCTCTTCTCTTTTTAACTCCTCAGTAATAATAATCACCCTGAAGCTATTTTAGTTTGGGGTTTGAGTCAACTTGGTGGGCGAAGTGTCCAACTGAAAACAACATGCTGTCTCCTCCAAAATATGATCCAAACAGAAGACAGACTCTGCAATAATGAGGCAACTTCTCTACAGACGCCCCCTCAGACGCCCCCTCAGACGCCCCCTCCTCCTCCTCCTCCTCCTCCTCCAGCACACTGTCATCAGCCACCTGGGCTGTCTGACTTGGGGATGTGAAGAGGTGAAACTGCTGAATATCACACAACACTGCTTGCGGTAGCCTCTGATTTCTGGCTCCTGTCATAGTCAAACTGTATTGGAGACTAACCGAAGCGTCCTGCCCGTCCGATTCTGTGCATGTAGGTTTCCCAGTCCTGCGGCACGTCCAGGTTTATCACCAAGTTGACTTTCTCTGCATCTATACCTCTGGAAGTCTGAGGACGGAGAGAAAACCACAAAAATTAAAGCACAGGAGCTGTTTAACTCAAGATCCCATCCAAGTGATGGGAGACATATGCGATGAAAGATGTGTGCGTCTCACCAAGTCAGTGGAGATGAGCACCCTGCACTGGTACTGCTTCAGTTTTGACATCGCCTCCAGCCTCTGGTCCTGAGTCAGACCACCTGAACAGGTCATCACACACCGTCACATGAAATCTGATCAACTGAAATCCACTCTGCTATGACAGCCAACAATATAAATCCTATGTTTTTTTCTCTCTTTCACAAAAACAGAAAAGTAGACAAATTCTAGAGCTGAAACAATCGATCAGTCGGTCAACAGTAAAATATCAGAATCAAAATCAAGTATTTTGATAATCAAATGTCAAACATCCTCTGTTTCTTTTTTGTCTTATGTGATAATAAACTGGATTATCTTGAGGGTTTGCAGTTTCAGTCGGACAAAACAAGCAATTTGACGAAATCACACTGGGCTTAAGGAAATAGTGATGGGCATTTTTACAATTTTTGCCACCACTAAATCAAGAAAATCATTTTCAGATTAAATAGATAATGACAATAATAGTTAGTTGCAGCCCCAATTCACAGCAATCAAGATTATTTACAATCAGTTACTCTCTCAAGCTGTACATTTTTAAGACTGAGATGTCAAAAACAATGACAAACACCTATGACACGTTACAGGACCCCAAAGCAGTGCCTCACTACAAGTTTTAAAAAAAAAATCAAAGTAGCCAATTCATAGTTTCACACAAGACAGAAAAATACCAGATATAATAGTTAAAATAATGGTTTTAAATCTTTTTTTTTTCATCACCTAAACTATTAATCGATTATCAAAATGTACATACAGTAATTTGTCTATTTTCTGTTGACTGATTAACATGTCACACAAATATCACTGGTTTTCAGAGCCCGCCTCACCTGAGATACAAACAGCAGGTAAGCCTTTGGAGGACAGGATGTCTGCCAGGTGTTGAGCCCTGAGGGAGCAAATCCAACATCAGCTCAGTAATCTGTTCCAGTGTTCACACACAAGAGCACATATGAAGACAAGGGTATGCAATGAAATAATGTGTTACCTTGTGTGTAGGTTGGAGAACACCAGGGCCTGGTTGAATGGGATTTTACTGAACAGCTCTAGTAAGTGCTGCACCTTCTCCTCGAAAACCCTGTGAGGTAACGGATGGGACTGCACCAGCTTGTAATACTGCTTCAGACCTGGTGGGGGGCACACAAGGACAACATACATAACTGATTAATTCAAGTAGAACTATAACTGAGTATACACAGCCACAGACATCTATGAATATCAATATCTTAATCTCAGATGAAGGCATTTTCCACAATTAATTTTGTACATAGTGAAGAAAAAAAAAAACAAAGTAAACACAAGGTCTAAAGTTGATTCTGTCAAAGAGATGAATGTTTTACTCTGTCGGACACCTCCCACCCTCAGGAACTGATGACATTTTGTGCCAGGACATAAGCCCTGAAAACAAGTCACATTACAAGCTTTATTATTCTAACCATGCAGTCTTATTTTAAGGAGTCTCTGGCCTCCGTTCAGACCTGGCATGAACATGTGACTCTGATGATCCAATCACAAGTGAACAGCTCCAACCCCGTCAGTTCACACCTTGCATCAACATGCATCCCTACGTGCGTCTCTTGACCACTTGTGATCAGATGTCACTCCCCCACTCTTTATGCAAATAACCACTTATGTGTTGTTGTTTTCATCAAGACCGACTACAGACGGGTCTGTTGCGTCTTGGATGTGTTCACCCCTGCACTTAGAGCTGTCCACCTGTGATCAGATCACCGAAGATGGATGTTAATGCCAGGTCTGAACAGGGCCTGTTAGCCAGGACAGCTGTTAACTGTTGGCACTTTATAGTTTTAACATGTAAACTATACAGAGCTAATAGGTCAGGTAATTTAAAATATTAAGTGACACTTTCACCCTTTAAATTGCACTTTTCTTTCCCTCAGCTTTTTGTGGTAGTGCTAGCACCACATCTGACCATGAAAAAGGATCTTACCTTTAAGGCCCATGTCACTGGGATTGAGTCTAACAAAGGTAGGCTCTCTCATGTAGCGGGTAAGGTGCTTCGCAAGGGATTCTGGGTAGGTGGCAGAGAGCGCAAGCATCTGCTTGTTTGCAGGTAGAGAGGAGAAGATCCAGCTAAAGAGGAGCAGATTGGAGAGTTTCATTTATGCAAATTTGTTACAAGAAGCTTCAATCTATTAAATATCAGCATAATAATAATTATTAATATTATTATTAAATATGAGTGTGATTATACAAAGTTCTTTCCATCTTACTTGATCTGCTCCTGGAAGCTGCCCTCCTCCAGCAGCTTGTCTGCCTCATCCAGAACAAACAGTCTGATGCTGGCGGTCGACAACATGCCCAGCTCGATAAGCTGCTTGATACGACCTGAGTGCACAACCAGCAACATGGTTACAGGACACAAGTATGACGGTTACATAAACAGGTTATGCCTCTCTATTAATAGTCCACTGGCCTCTTACCAGGTGAGCCCACAGCTACATGGCACTTCTTCAGGTGGGGTTTGTCCTGACTCACAGGCCTGCCCCCAATAAAAACATGGCACTCCAGGCCTTCCATGGCACAGCCTATGGCCATCACTACTGAGTGGATCTGCACTGCTATCTCACGTGTAGGAGCCAACACAAGAACCTGCAGGGGGAAAAAAAAAAAGGTTGTGTGTGAAGAAAGTTAGATGTTAACAACCATTTACATTTGATTGGGAGTAGATTATAGACAGGTGTTGGGTGGTCCCCACTCAGTAAGACCCTGTAGCTAATAAGATTACAGTGCCCAAGAATGCAGCCAATTCATCGACAAAGCCAGATGCACGTCTCCTTTATCAATAACTGTCCTTTTTCATTTATACTTATGACACTGAGCAGCTTTAACTCATCAGATTAAGACCCCCAAAACCAAAGTGATTACTACTCATGACCATCTGTTGTTGGTAAAAATGGGCACTGGTTAACTACAAAATAAAACTTTTGTTTTGAGATATTTTTCACTTTTTTATAATACAATATACAAACCTTTTGAGTATTGGTAAAAAATAAGAAAAAAAAAATTCCAGTTTTTTTATATATACATATACACCTTTCTGCATATGTAAAACTGAGGTGCTTAAAACTTTGACTTTAAGGAATAAACATTCATATATATATACAGTGTAACATATAAAAGGGGAAAAATCAATTCTTAAAAATAAAATCTTGATCTCCACTGTGGAGTAAATCCACTAACCTGAGTCGCAGGATTCTCCAGGACCAGAGAGTCCAGGGCGATGGTGCAGAACACACATGTCTTTCCCGTGCCAGACTTGGCCTGTACAATCAAATCTGAAACAGAAGATGGACAATGTGGGGCTGAGCAATTAGACGGAATAATCACAATCACAATTTTGACTTCCACAGTTAATTAAACTTGATTAGGTGCAATATTGATGCTTCATGACTAGAGTGTCTAATCTGCTGCATCAAATCAAGTGCCTCCTATCCACAGTGAAACCGTCTGACCAATCACACGTGTTTACACAAACTGCTCTCTGCCTCACAGCTGCAGGCAAGAGCTCCTTCACGACAGACAACCTGCAAGAAAAATTAACTATGTCTGTATGAATCATTTTATTTGGTCGTGAAGATGTGGGGAAATCTTTCCTGATTTGTACATTTGAAGGCTTTTTACAATTTTGTTAAAATGTCAAACTGTCAAACATTTTTACTGGAACTATTTTCTCCGTGAGGTTAGAATAAGGAGAGAGTTGGCATTTGACAACAGACCTTTTATCATTAAATGGATTATGCAAACCATTCAGACAAAAAACTTACATCTGCATAAGCCAGTTGTTATTCTGGTATCAGTGGATCATTGACTGAATGTTCACATTGGACAAATGGGTATGGCAAGACAAGTTAAGTTAAACTTAACTTATTTTAAAAAATGTATTAGCTGTGTGATTCCTGTACATGAGGGCTAGCCGGTATCATGTGCTTATCAATAACAGGAATGCACATTAGTGGGTCAATACACAAGTTTTCAATCATGCAAGTCTCTGACATCTGAAATGTATATGTTTAATATGAAATGGTGCTATAAGATATAACATTACAGATGAGTGCAACATCTGCATATTCAGTCAGTCACTCAACCTGTTTTGTGCTGCTACATAAACATGCATGTATTAATACGTAATTAATATCTGTTCCTGACACACATGTGGACTGACCGACAAAGTGTTAAGGACCCACCAAGTCCGCAGCGGCCTAGCGGGATGGCCTTGAGCTGGATCGGGGAGGGCTTCTGAAAGCCTGCGGCGGACAGTCCGTCCAGCACGGCCGGAGACAGCAGCAGGGACCCGAAGTCGATCCCATCCGACAGAAGGACATCATCGGTCCGCTTTCGCGTTTCTATGTCGTGGGCTGCTCTCCTCACGGAGGAAGCCATGTTGACTGAACTGTTTACCGCCGGTGAGTGAACCCAGCCGGTTAAAAGCGTCTCGGAGCTGCGGCAGACCTGCGCCTTTACCGCCCCCCAGTGACCGGGCGGGGGACTAACCTGTGTGTATTTTCTGAGCTGTGAATACAATTAATTGGGAAGATTGAAATTGGCCCTCTTCCTTCTGCTGGAGCCAAAGAAGACTAAGCCAAATAAAACTTATTATGTAAAAAGGACAGTTGACTCAACTTTTCTCTGTTTGCTTGGCCTCTCATATACTGTAACATTCACACCTGTCCCCCTGCAAACAATGGCAGCTGGGAACCAAAAGTGCTCCACACTAAATATGAATATAAAAATATATGTTGTAAATAACCAACTTAATGTTACACCTACAAATTATTATATGAAATAATAAAATACTGCAACTGATATAATAATATAATAAACTCAATGAAGTAATATTAATAAATATAATAAACTCAAATAATATTGCACCACTAAATATATGACACAAATTAATATGGTAAGCTTATAATTTAAATATTCCAAATGTGCACATATCAGGGACCATGTACAAAATACATTAATCGCAAAAAAAGAGGGGCAGGTGAGGGGAACAGTAAAACAGAACAAAATCCAACATCACAACTACGAATAGACCAACATGCTGATCATAATCACGCAGTGTTCGCAGATACACACACATACACAAACACACAATAACACACTTAATACAAAATATTCATATTAGTTCACCAGATGATGCTCAAATTAATGCTAACAATACTTAAAATCAATTTTTTTGCTTCACGAGAAAAAATATGGAAGTCTGTGCAGGTTATCAGATTGATGAGAAGCATGTTGTTTAATATTGAGCAATGATTTGAAAAAGATTTGAAAAGCTTCACATTTCTGATTGATTTCATCAGCATGTAACTCAGAAATGGGTTAAAGTTGATAGTGTTACTGTGTTAGCTGTTTTACTGAATCCTTGCTTCATTACTCTGCAGCAGCTGTAAACTAAGCAATCATGGAAAGTGCGGTGTTACAGGATCCAGACAGGATTAGACAGAATTATTGTCTTCAGAATCCGGATCTTCGGATTTGGTTTAAATTGGAATTAAATGTCATGATCTAGAGCCTCTCCTCGTCTCTTAGTGGCCTTATTAAGGGAGATCCATCTCCATCCCTTCTTTTGAGCTGCACCAGAACAGCAAACATGCAGCATCTGTAGAGAAACAGTTGCCTATTATCACTTTTGTTTATGTTTTGTAATATTTTGTGAAGCTGTTGTTTTGACCTGTGGACATTTTGAACTTGAGTTGGATTTGTTTTGATGGACCCCTGACAATATTTTCTTACAAGGAAGCAGTTTGTGGCATCCCTGTGTCATCCACACTGTTATCAATCCCTCAATTAATCTACACTGAGCAAAATGGAAACTGATGCTCTCCAAGGAAACTCTTCATCGTCTCACAGCTCAGTGAACACCAAGTTCCTCTCACAGACTGGCTACACAGTACTAGCCATTATCATGGGTGTATTTTCTGTAGCAGGGATCATCCTCAATGTCCTTGTGATCGTGGTGACAGTGAAATACAGACAGCTAAGGCAGCCACTCAGCTACGCCCTGGTTAACCTGGCCATATGTGACCTGGGCTGTGCTGTGTTTGGAGGGCTGCCCACCACAGTAACCAGTGCCATGGGATACTTCAGCCTGGGACGTGTGGGCTGCGTGTTAGAGGGTTTTGCTGTTTCCTTTTTTGGTGAGCCAATTCAGAGCTAGTCTATATTAGTAGTTTGCATGTCAAAGTTTTAATTACAACTTGATTTGATTCAATTTGCACTGTGGTGGAAATACTGGAGGAAGTATTCAAATCCTTTACGTAAGTAAAATGTACTTATGTACTACTACTATGCTATTAGTAAAGTACAGCTAATGGTGTGAATTTATTGCATTCACAAATACAGTATTTGGTGCCAAAGTATCAACAAAGTACACTTTAAATTTATTCCTTACTAAAAGTACTCATTTTACAGTAAAATGGCCCCTGTGAGTGATACATCATTATGCATGATATTGTTGGTTTGCTAATAATACTAATACAATGATGATCATAGCATTTTGTTGTCAGTCAAGGTGGAGCTAGTTTTAATTACTTTATATACAGTTCAGTAGCCTGCTCCATTTGTTTCCAAAAGGGTCCCACAATAAATATGGGGCCATCAGGAGTATCCTTTATCAAGTAGAAAGGAATAAATCAAAGTTATGTTACAGAAATTTGTATTCATTTACTGGACTTTGCTTTTATGCCTCCGCACCGATGACATTCGTGGCTTATTGTATTATACATACTATACATATTATGTTTTTGGCCAAGTAGTTAGGGGGCATACCACATGGCCATAAATGTCTTGAGCACCAAGTCTCTGATTCAACTCCCAGTTGGTCAAATCTGCATGTCATGCCCCTATTCTTTTTCCCCACATTTCCTGTGTCTTCACTTCACTGTCTGAATAAATTCAAAACAAATGATTTAATACAATTCTATTAACTTAATTACATATATTTTATTTTATTAATTTCACTCAATGTAGTTCAATTTAATTTGAATCTGTGGTAGGCAGAAATCTAGCCAAAAACTGTAATATACATACATCTGTTGATTTTCCATTAATAAAATATATGTACATATGACATAAAATTATATATGTACATACATTATAGCCTAAATATGTAAAATATACATGTGAAACAATATCATATATTGACATATATGTCTAGCTAATACAAACATGTACTTTAGTATGTCTGTTTAAATTATAGACATATGTTACATAAATATATATATCAGTCCCAAAGCCTGTCAGTATATGTTCATCATAAAAAAATATACATCATAGTATAGTAAGACATTAAAAGGTCATAGTATAGTAAGACATAAAAATGTTATAGTATAGTAAGGCTACAAAAGTCATATTATGGTGAGGTATAAACATTTCATAGTATAGGAAGGCATTTAAAGGTCATAGTATAGTCAGGCATAGGAGTGTAATATTATATTAAGCAATGAAAAGTCATAGTATAGTAAAGCAAAGTGACGTCATAACATGGTAAGGCATAAAAGGTCATATGATAAGGCAAAAAAACATCATACCATAGTAAGGCAGAAGGAGTAAAATTATAATAAGGCATAAAAAGTCATATTATATTAAGCCATTAAAACATTATATTGTAGTAAGACATAAAAATGTCATAGTACACTAAGGAAAGGAAAAGTGCTAGTAGGGAAAACAAATCATTATATTAAGGCACTAAAAGTCATATAAACGTCATAGTATAGTGAGGCATAAAATGTCATACAACATAGTATATTAAGGCATAAAAAGTAGAAATGGTGATATTACAATTAGGCATAAAAAGTAATTGAAAATTCAAAGTATAGAAAGGCATTAAAAATGTAACAGTAAATAAGGCATAAACATGTCATAAAAATATCAAAGTATAGTAAGGCAAAAAATGTCTAGTATAATAAGACATAAAATGTTATGGTATAGTAAGGCATAAAAGTGTCATAAAAACATCATAATAAGGCATTAAATGTCATTAAATAATGAGGGAAAAAAGTCATAATATAGTTCGACATAAAAAATGTCACAGTAAAGTAAGGCATTAAAAGGTCATAATATAGTGAGGCATATAATGTCATAAAAACATCATAGTATAGTGAAGAATAAAAAGTCATAGCTAAACTATGACTTTATTTTATGATGCATAAAAACATAGTACGGTAAAGCATAAAAGGTCTTACTATTGTATTACTAAGGTATGAAAAATTTCATTGTTGAAGTATTATGAGGCATGAAAAGTCAAAAACGACATATTAGAATGAGGCATAAAAAGTTGAAAATGTCATAGTATATTATGGCATAAAAAAATCCTGATATTTTAGTATGGCATAAAAACGTCAAAAAACGTCATGGTATAGTAAGGCATAAAATTTTCAAAAAGTGTCATAGTATAGTATTGCATACTACGTCATAGAATAGTATGGCATAAAATCACAATGACCGTCATAATATAATATGGCATAAAATATCATAGTATAGTATGACATAAAATGTCAATGAGCATTAGGTATAGTATGGCATGAAGATGTCAACAAATGTTTTATTATACTATGGCATAAAAAGATATAGGCATAAAAACATCAAAAAACGTCATAGTATATTATGGCATAAAAATGTCACAAATTGTCAAAGTATAGTATGGCATAAAAAGTCATAGTATCGTAAGGCATGAAAAATGTTAAATATTGTCAATCTTATAGTATGGCATAAAAACATGATAACATGGTATGGCATAAAATGTCAAAAAAACGTCATATTATATTAAGGCATAAAATGAAATAAGAAGGTCATAGTATGGTAAGGAATAAAAGGACATAGGATGATAAGGCTTGAAAATGCCAAAAGACGTCATAGTATAGTATGGCATTAAACATCAAAAAAACATTGTGTTATATTAAGGCATAAAAGGTCAGAAAAAGGTCATAGTATGGTAAGGAATAAAAGGACATAGGATGATAAGGCTTGAAAATGCCAAAAGACGTCATAGTATAGTATGGCATTAAACATCAAAAAAACATTGTGTTATATTAAGGCATAAAAGGTCAGAAAAAGGTCATAGTATGGTAAGGAATAAAAGGACATAGGATGATAAGGCTTGAAAATGCCAAAAGACGTCATAGTATAGTATGGCATTAAACATCAAAAAAACATTGTGTTATATTAAGGCATAAAAGGTCAGAAAAAGGTCATAGTATGGTAAGGAATAAAAGGACATAGGATGATAAGGCTTGAAAATGCCAAAAGACGTCATAGTATAGTATGGCATTAAACATCAAAAAAACATTGTGTTATATTAAGGCATAAAAGGTCAGAAAAAGGTCATAGTATGGTAAGGAATAAAAGGACATAGGATGATAAGGCTTGAAAATGCCAAAAGACGTCATAGTATAGTATGGCATTAAACATCAAAAAAACATTGTGTTATATTAAGGCATAAAAGGTCAGAAAAAGGTCATAGTATGGTAAGGAATAAAAGGACATAGGATGATAAGGCTTGAAAATGCCAAAAGACGTCATAGTATAGTATGGCATTAAACATCAAAAAAACATTGTGTTATATTAAGGCATAAAAGGTCAGAAAAAGGTCATAGTATGGTAAGGAATAAAAGGACATAGGATGATAAGGCTTGAAAATGCCAAAAGACGTCATAGTATAGTATGGCATTAAACATCAAAAAAACATTGTGTTATATTAAGGCATAAAAGGTCAGAAAAAGGTCATAGTATGGTAAGGAATAAAAGGACATAGGATGATAAGGCTTGAAAATGCCAAAAGACGTCATAGTATAGTATGGCATTAAACATCAAAAAAACATTGTGTTATATTAAGGCATAAAAGGTCAGAAAAAGGTCATAGTATGGTAAGGAATAAAAGGACATAGGATGATAAGGCTTGAAAATGCCAAAAGACGTCATAGTATAGTATGGCATTAAACATCAAAAAAACATTGTGTTATATTAAGGCATAAAAGGTCAGAAAAAGGTCATAGTATGGTAAGGAATAAAAGGACATAGGATGATAAGGCTTGAAAATGCCAAAAGACGTCATAGTATAGTATGGCATTAAACATCAAAAAAACATTGTGTTATATTAAGGCATAAAAGGTCAGAAAAAGGTCATAGTATGGTAAGGAATAAAAGGACATAGGATGATAAGGCTTGAAAATGCCAAAAGACGTCATAGTATAGTATGGCATTAAACATCAAAAAAACATTGTGTTATATTAAGGCATAAAAGGTCAGAAAAAGGTCATAGTATGGTAAGGAATAAAAGGACATAGGATGATAAGGCTTGAAAATGCCAAAAGACGTCATAGTATAGTATGGCATTAAACATCAAAAAAACATTGTGTTATATTAAGGCATAAAAGGTCAGAAAAAGGTCATAGTATGGTAAGGAATAAAAGGACATAGGATGATAAGGCTTGAAAATGCCAAAAGACGTCATAGTATAGTATGGCATTAAACATCAAAAAAACATTGTGTTATATTAAGGCATAAAAGGTCAGAAAAAGGTCATAGTATGGTAAGGAATAAAAGGACATAGGATGATAAGGCTTGAAAATGCCAAAAGACATCATAGTATAGTATGGCATAAAATGTAGAAAAAAACATAATTTTATATTAAGGCATAAAATGTCAAAAAAAGGTCATAGTATGGTAAGGAATAAAAGGACATAGTATAATAAGGCCTGAAAATGCCAAAAAACGTCATAGTATAGTATGGCATTAAACGTCAAAAAAACATCATTTTATATTGAGGTGAAAAGGTCATAAAGAGGTCATAGTATGCTAAGGAGTAAAAGGACATAGTACGATAAGGCTTGAAAATGCCAAAAGACGTCATAGTATAGTATGGCATTAAAATGTCAAAAAACGTCATAGGATAGTATGGCATAAAAGGTCAAAAAAAACATCCTATTATATTAAGGCATAAAAGGTCACAAACAGGTCATAGTATGGTAAGGAATAAAAGGACATAGTATGATAAGGTCTGAAAATGCCAAAAGACTTCATAGTATAGTATGGCATAAAAGGTCAAAAAAAACATCCTATTATATTAAGGCATAAAAGGTCACAAACAGGTCATAGTATGGTAAGGAATAAAAGGACATAGTATGATAAGGTCTGAAAA